TAGTGCCCTACCACTTGAGCCACAGCACCACTTCTGATTTTCTGGTGGTTTATTGGATTTGAGTCTCACGGACTTTCCTGCCTGAACCTCCATCCTCACATCTCAGCCTCTTGAGTAGCTAGGATTACAGGCATGAGCCACTGGTACTCAGTTCTCAGCCTTCTTAGTAGGTAGGATTACAAGTGAGCCACTAGCATTCAGCTAAAACCCTGTCTCTTTAAAAAGAAAGGAAAGGAAATTGACTTACCCTGGGAGCAATTGAAAGTTAATGTTTAACACAGGTCTGGGTTTGTATCTTGAAAAGGTAACTGGTTGCTATAATGAGAATAGATTTGGGGGAGGGCAGAATTAGACATGGTTGTAAAGCTGCAAAATTAGGGAAATGATATTTGGAAGGTAAAATTAATAGGGGTTAGTGAATGGTTTAAGTATTAAGGATGATGACTACATTTCTGACTTACATAACTAGTGAATTCTATTTCCATTCAGAAAAATATAAAACAATAGAGAAGAACCAGGGCCAGATAAGTGGCCCTGCATTCAGAGATAGATTCAATGTGCTGAATATGAGATATTTTACAGTAAACATTTAGGCAAAAAAAAAGTAATAGAAATAGGTGATTGGCCTAGAAATGATAGATGGATTCAAAGATAAGGATAAAACTGTCAGGTAAAAATGTCTAAATGATAAGTCCAAAAGACATCAACAGAACAGAGATGGTAGAAAATCAGGTGAATGAGTTATAATGGAACAGTTCCATGGAGAGTATGGTCAACAGCTGATTACTGAAGCAAGTGGTTCGAGGTAATGATGGAATTTGAACTAAATAAAATGCTTCGGGTCAGGAAATATGTAGACCACTGTTTCAGAAGGCTTAGTTGTGAAGAGGGGACAAGAGTGGAGGAAGTGTATGGGAATAAGTAGAAATTGGGGAGGTACAGTGAGGACAGCCAGCCAGGATGATAAGGCACATTGACCTAAAACTCTAGCAGTTAGGAGACTGAGTTCAAGGCCAGCCTGAGCTATAGCATAAGACCCTTAAAAAAAAAAAAAAGATACGGTATTAGCTGAGCAATGGTGAGGCTCCGAGTTCAAACTCCAGTAATTAATAAGAAAATAGAAGATAGCAACCATGTTTAAATGCCAATCGTCATGATCCAGTTGATATGAAATGAGAAAAAAATCATAATTGAGATGCTGAGAAACTGAAGAGCAAAGAATCCAAAATACATTTAGAAGAACTGGCTTTAGCTGGAGAGAGCAAGTGGAAAGGAGAGGAGTTATGAGGATATTGGCAAGTTTTAGGGTCAACTATAACCATGGTTGGAAGTTGATAGTCCACTATGTATTTACTCTGAAATGAAGTATGCAGTGCCTGTGGGCAACAGATATGTCTGTGGAGATGTCAAGCCATCCAGTGGCATTCAAAAACACACGACAGGAGAAAAGAATTCTGAGTATCCCAAGCACAGAAGTAAGAGTATCTTGGGGCTAAGTGACATCATCTACAGTTTTGCGGGTGCTTGAGTAGCTAATGTATAGTGGAGGAAAAGAGGCAACATTATTTAGACTAATAGGCCATTTCCTTGCCCAATGAGATTTTTGTAATTGAGTATAAGTGGGCAAAGTCTAAGAGATACAAGAGGTACAATGTTCTGCTAAGGTGGTTGTCATGTTTGCTGTTTATGTTGTCAACACATAGCAACCTCAACAATGTGCCTTGAAGAAATGTGACAACAGGAAAGACTGCAAGCCCATTTCCTGCCTCCAGGATAGAAAATGGATACACTTTTATTTCCAGGCAGAAATAATGTCATGAGAGCCAATAAACTTTATTAGGAGGGGACAAAGTGGCTGTCAGATTTAGTTTTCTCAATACCTGAGTTTCTCCTGGGGATGGATAGGATTCATATCATGTCCACTAGATTTTATCTCCCCTTCATGGGAGGAGGAGGGCTTCCAGTGTGGCACCAGTTCAGTCCTAAGAGACTGACTGTTCTCTTGGTGTTCACTGGAGAGTTCTAAGAGATCAATGCCCAGTCTCCTTACCTTGCTTCCTCCTTACCCTGTCCAAAGCCCAGCCCTCCATACCATGAAAACAAAGGTTTTATTGCAATGTTTTTATTGCATTACTGGAGCAAGTTGGCCAGACTATCCCCTCTTGGGGAAGGTAAAAACAGAAAAGTATCTCCCTTACCTTCCCTCCACCCTTCCCCACAACTGCACAGCAATGTCTGAACACGTCTGGTGACAATAACAATTTGCAAAATTGGTCTAGGAACTACATTATGAATTGTCCCAACACAAGACGTACAGGTGACTTCCTTGTGAATCAGATTTTTACATAAACTACAGAATTTTTTTTGACTACATCAAAGACAACAGAATAGGTTTTTCACAAGTAACAACAGGGCACCAAAGTCACATGCTGGAATTTGTAAGGAAACAATGTTGGTTGTAACAAGTGGCTGGAGCTAACTTTAGCAAGGCTGAGCAGTTGGCAGCAGAGGACCCAAACCGGTCCTCATATAGACTCTCTGGTTTCTAGGACTATTGAAACCTCACAGAGACCCACTCTGGGTCTTAACTGTCAGCAGAGATCATCCTAGTAACTAGGAGTTGCCCAGATGCATTTCTTGGCTCAAGAGAATACATGGAGCAAGAAGAGACCCAAGGAAGACACCACATTGGTTCTCAAGCTTCCAGAAATGAGGTCTAAAGTAAATGAGGGGTCCCACTAAGTCTTGGAGAGGTATTAGGAGTCCCTGTTTTAAAGCCTTGGCCCAGATAAGGAGGACACAGGATACCTAGCCAAGGCCAAGGTTTGACATCTACACCTAGGTGCAAATGGCATTGTTTTATGATGAGTGCTCCACCTGGAAAAGATGGGCCTAGGCTTTGTGTGTCTTCCAAGCTGTTTTCATGTTTGTGGCAGACTCATCTAGCCAAGAGAATCAATTCCTCTAGTTGGACCTATCTCTTGACCCTCTGCTTCTGTGAGACACAATTAAGATGTCAGGAGATAGTCCCAGAACCCAAATTATGGGATAGGACACAACTAGACTCATGAAGGAGACTCGGACCTAACAAGGGAGCAGTATACCGTCCCTCCACACACTCCAAATGCAGTGGTTAGTTGACTGGTGCATGGACAGTGTACATCTCTGGGCACTGATTCAGGAACAAGTAAATTATGTGGAAACTGATCAGAAAATACTCTCTATGAAATGATCTCTAATCTTAGAGACCACAAGGCAAAAGGAAAGAAAATAAATATAAAACTGAAAACCAGCCCTTCTCCGCAAGCTAGCCCACGTATAGGTTAAATGGTACTTGTTCGCTCCCTCTACACCCTCCTTGTCTGACACTTGTTCAACACTACAGGTGTATATCATATTCCATCTTGGCTTAATTTTAAAAAAAGACTCAGGACTCTAAAAAATTTTAGTACCAGATAGAAGGGATGCAAAGCTACCTCTGTACCCAGCAGCAATCAGCCTGACAACTCAGTAAAACGCTGAGCAAGGCTTCAATCTAGCAGGTTGGGGAAAGCATGTTCTGGCTATCATTAAGGGCTCAAATCACCAACACAGCAGGGGAGGGGGCTCATTTGTCTCTTCTCACCCAATTAAACTTCAGTGTAAACAAAAGCCAAAGACGCTTTTTCTTCCTATCCTGGATAGGAAGTAACTTGGGAAATTTTGTTTGTTTTTTATTTAATCTATGTCCATGTCTACATCATGTTCCATTCTAGACACTTTCACTGAAGTAAGCATTCAGGGAAAGTACTACTGTTTTTCTTTTATCCCCCAAACTAGTTTTCCTAGCTATAAACTTTATGAACCAAGACCCAGATACTGGCTGCTCCTCTAGCTCAGCTAGGATGCCTGACTGCACATCTCTGGGCTCAAACAGCTGAGTCACACTCAGCCTATTATAGTTCCAGGATTGGCTTGGAGGCAAGCTGGACTATTTGTCAAATGAGTGTTGACTGATGACTGTGGAGCATAATGAAGGCAGGAGTAGATGGCCTTCCCTCCACTTCATTTGCCTGGCTTCACTCAGCTAGAAGGTTTAAACTACATGGGGCAGAAGATTCCTGGCATAAAATCACAGCCACTGAAGCATGAGGGCAGGCTGCACATTGCTTTAATGGCAGGCTCAAAAAAAAAAAAAAAGGCAGAGAAAAGCTTCCAGATGATTTCTATTAACAGTCTGAACTCCAAGCCATGTTTTCTCCCTGCAAAAGCTTCAGAAACCACTGTATGGAAGCATGTTATAATGTGGTATGACCCTTACCCTGGACACCAGGGGCCCTGAGTCTGGTTTCTTAGGCCTCTGACCACAATCTGATTCCCTCCTTAGCCACTTAAGGACTCCCTTAACACTATCCAGCAAAAAAAAAAAAGGGGGGGTGGGGAGATGAAGGGAAAGCAAACCATAGATCATGTTTTTGTAGGGCTCTTTAAACTTGGGGAAGCACATATAACAATGTTGTTCTATCATTATTTGGTATATCAAGCCATCTAAAAGCACTGGATTGCACCTTTTCTTTTCTCATACAAACAAGTTACAAAAGTTTCAAACATCATTCTTTAGGCTAAGGAAACACCACGAAAGCACCAACTTCATTGTATGATTCAAATCTCACTATCCCCACAAAAACAATGCTATTCCTCATGTCTGAGAAATGGGCAGGGCAAAAGGAAATACATTGACCAATTTGTTTGCAAAAAACTCACATCTAGTTTTCTGATTTTCAAGTTTGGGTACAAAACTGTGCATTCAGCTACTCATGTCACCATCTCCCTCGTTGTGAAACAAACATCATTTTACTGGTTTCTGAAAACGATGCTTCTTAAGAAAGTACACTGAAGCCTAAATTATGTTGGTAAGTAAAACCACCCACTGAAGGGTTTTTTTGTACCCTCTTGCCTTAGATTCTTTCATGAAACCCCAAGCCTCCCTATTTTCCTTTGGTTGTCTTTTTTTTTGTCCCCCCCCAAAAACAAATCCCATTCTACCACAGAAGAAAAAAAAAAGTGTTTACTTTTGGAATGAAGAGATTATAGGAGCAAAACAATTCCCAACAGAGCCAAGCCCCTGTTGCATTCTCAGAGCTGAAGACCAAAAGAGAATATGGACTCTTCAGAGGCTTCCAAATGTAACTCCCACCCTGCCTCCATGGAGCCTAGTGTGTTCTGTGGAGGGTGCCTGGTAAACAAAAACAAAAACCCCAACAAAACAAACTTCCCAAAAACAACATCTGCTTACTTTTTCAGTGCAGCAGTACAGCTGAGTCCCAGAAACCCCAGGCCCCTTTATTTATTCCCCCATCCCGGCCGGCTACTGGTCGGCCTCTCCACTTCACATTCACAGAATCACTTCTTGTGCAAAACAAGCAGTCTACGTAGAAAGAATGCCCTCATCGTAGTCTAATAAAAACTGTAGAAAAAAATGCTGGAGAGCCAACTCTTCCCACTCCCTCTTTATCTGCAGAGCGAAGGCATCTGTGCATGGACAGGGTAGGCAAGCCTGACATTGAGGGAGTCGTTGTGCTGAACCAGGGATGTCTGCTGGTAGTGGAGCACCAGCTCCTTCAGGGAGCTGTACAGGTTGTAGGGCTCTGCGAAGCCATATCCTCGTGCCGTACTGTAGATCACACAGTGCTTCACCTCCCCATCAGCACTGCAAAGATACACAACAGGAAAAATGCTAAGGCAGATATAATAGCTATTAAATGGTCACTAGTTTACCCAGGCACTGGTGGCCCAAACCTATAATTCTAGCTACTCAGGAGGCTGCGATCTGAGGATCACGGTTCAAAGCCAGTCCAGATGCGAAAGTCCATGAGACTCTTCTCTCCAGTTAACCACCCCAAAACCAGAAATAGAGCTGTGGCTCAAAGTGGTAGAACACAAGCCTTGAGCAAAAAAACTCGGGGGCAGCACCCAGGCCCTGAGTTCAAGCCCAAGGACAAAAAAAAGTCATTAGTCAGACAAAGCTTGTGAAACTGTGTTGCTTTCAATCACCTTAGAGATTGGGCCACAGATACAAATACATGAAAACAATCATGAATGTTGACCCTTTTTTTTTTTTTGTCAGTCATGGGGCTTGAACTCGGACTGGGCACTGTCCCTCAGCTCTTCAGCTCAAGGCTAGGGCTCTACCACTTGAGCCACAGCACCACTTCTGGCCTTTTCTGTTTATGTGGTGCTAAGGAAATGAACCCAGGGCCTCATGCATGGGAAGCAAGCACTCTACCACTGTGCTACCTTCCTAGCCCGAATGTAGATCTTATTTCTTAATTCTCCATTCATTCATTCCATTTCATTCATGCATTTATATGAATGGAATTCTAAGGCCCCAAAATGCAGCCTAGGCCCCCAAAATTAATGATTCGATTTCATGTGTTCAGAAAACCAATGGGGGAATGAAATAAGGAGACTGGGTCTAGGCTTCGCCTAGATAATTGGCTCTTGATTTCCTCTGTTTCCCTAGATGGTTTGCTTTTCTATTAGGTTTAAGTGACCTCATCTGGTTTGCTTTGCTTATGTATAAACCTTTTGCTGGATTTGATTCCACTCACCTTGTGTAGCTTTGGCCTATATAAGCTTTGTGCTAGCCACAAAGGGCTGCTGGTCATTGAGACATGGTCTACCAGCAGTCCTCCCACGCTCCAATAAAGACTCATACTTTGGCCTCTTACATGATGGCTTCTCTGTCTCCACTGAGTTTCCTTATAACACACACACACACACACACACACACGTGTGTGTGTGTGTGTGTGTGTGTGTGTGTGTATTTATCCTTTCGTTGTTACCTCCTCAAATTCTTGATTACTATAGCTTAAGTAAATTTTTGAATCAAAATTTGTTTCTATTTTTTTCAAGACTGTTTTGGCTATTCTGGATCACTTCAATTTTCATATCAATCATAGGAGCATCTGGTCAATTTCTGCAAATTCACCTGAGATACTGATAGGATTATGCTGAATGTGTAGATCACTTTAGAAAAAGTGATCTACCTTTTTTAGTAAAATCTTTTTTTTTTTTTGGTCGGTCGTGGGGCTTGAACTCTGGGCCACTTCCGGTTTTCTAGTGGTTTTATTATTGGAAATAAGAGTTTCACGGACTTTCCTGCTCGGGCTGGCTTTGAACCTCGATCCTCAGATCTCAGCCTCCTGAGTAGCTAGGATTACAGACATGAGCCACTGGTGCCCGCCTTTTAGTAAAATCTTTAAAGGTATTTTATAGGCTCTACTGGACAACTCATACTTTATTCCTAGGAATTTCATCATTTTGATGGCATTTATTTTTGGATTAGTCATTGCTAGTATATAGAAATATATCTTTATGGGCTGGGAAGGTGGCTCAGTGGTAGAGCGCTTGCCTCACATTCATGAGGCCCTGGGTTCAATTCCTTAGCACCACATAAGAAGAAAAGGCCAGAAATGGCGATGTGGCGCTAGTGGTATAGCATTCATCTTGAGCTGAAGAGCTCAGGGACAGCGCCCAGGTCCAGAGTTCAGGCCCCCATGACCAGCCAAAGAAAAAATAAAAAATAAATATATCTTTGTGTCATATTACTTGCAACCTTGAACCCATTTTTTTACTTCTTACTTTCCAATCTTGATAGCTTTTTTTCTTTTTCTTGCCCAATTTCTCCAGTTAGACTTCCTTCATAATGATGAATAGCAGTGGTTATTTGGAATACATATCTTGTTCCTCTTTCTGATCAAGGGAAAGGCAATCAGTCTTCCATTACTACCCATAATACTTGCTGTGAGTTTTTCACTGGTACCTATTATTAGGTAGCAGAAATTCTTTCCTGTTCCAAGTTTCTTTTGTATGTTTTCTTTTTTGTGCATTACTGGAGTTGGAACTCAGTACTGGCGTTTGTGCTTGCTTGGGAAGTGAGTTTTCTATCACTTGAGCCATAAGCCCATTTTTTTTGCTTGTTACTTTTCCAGCAGAGTCTCATTTTTTGCCTACCCAGCCTGGACCACAATCCTACTTATTTTCCCTTGGTGCTGGGATGATAGGCATGACCCACTGCACCCAGCTCTTTATTGGCTAAGATGGGGAAGTTTCATGAATATTTTTTTGCCTGGGCTGGCCTGGAACCACAAGCCTCCTCATCTCAGCCTTTTGAATAGCTAGGATTATAGGTGTGAACCACAGTGATTAACTCCAAGATTCTTCTTAAAAACAACTTATTCAGACTCTCACTTCAGCAAATGCTCAAAGTATAATGTGAGATCACTATAGACAGGTTTTGCATGGCCAGAGTAGCTAGCAAACAGGAAATACTTGTGATGCCAGCCCCTCTTTTGTCTCCAACCATGCTCATTCTAATGAAGTGTGACTACAGTTAGCGGTTGTTTTCATAGGCATTGCTATAGACTTGAGTCTAGTCAAGCCCTCCCTCCCTCCCTCCCTCTCTTCCTTCCTAGATTCTAAGTCTTACAATAACTATTTTCTTATGATTTCCTCTCAGACAACTTGACCAGGTCAGAGAGAAATGAAATCTTGCTGTTCTATCTTTAGATGATGGCAATATGATTCATTTTCTAACTTTTCCCCCAGATTCCATTCATCCTTTAAAGGTCTAGTGCTAATGCCTCTTGCACAAAACCTCCTAACCCTCTTTTCCCCCATCAAAATGAGCAGTTCTACAGATGAACAACCCACTAACAGTAGCTATTTCACAGTGATTCTGTTCATCTTAAATGTTTTAAGAAATGAAGAAAGCCTGGTGCAATTTTTAAAATGTGGGCTTTGAAACTTAATAAACTTAGATTCAACCTCTGACTCCAAGACAAATAGACTCCTGAAGGCAAGGTGATTGTGTAAGGTGCTGAGTATTCTGCATATAAATGCCTTACATCTACACTCTCTTCCTTGCTCTCTTCAAGGGCATAATCACTGTCATCTTTGACCTCTGCCATGTCTGTCAGTAGCATTATTATCATAATATTAGTAGGTAATACCTCACAAAAAAGTAGATATTATTACTCTTATTTTTTAGGTGAGAAACTGAACAAAGAATGTTTTAAGTAATTTTCATAGTTGACAAGCAGTAAAGAGAGATTTAAACCTAGTATATCTTTTTTGGGGGACAGGGGGAGGGAGTGGGGAGGAGGGAAGCAGTGTGGTGTCGGTTGCTGGTCCTGGGGTTTGAACTCAGGGCCTAGGTTCTGTCTCTTACTTTCTTTTTGTTCAAGGCTAGCATTCTACCCCTCGAGCCACAGCTCCACTTCTGAGATAGTGGACATAGGAGTCTCACACACTTTACTACCTGGGCTGGCTTCAAACCTTGATCCTCAGATCTCAACCTCCTGAGTAGCTAGAATTACAAGTGTGAGCCACTGGTGCCCAACTGTAGTATTGCTTAAAACTGCTTTCTTATACAAATATTGATGGTCTAAGTAAGCCATAGATCCTCATTGCTGTACTTCAACCAATTGTATCAGGGGCTGATTTTCTATTAATCCATGTACAAGCAAAAAGCCATGTCCCTAGAGACGACTTACACTACAGAACAAGCATAGCATCCTTTCTTGCTGCTCTCACGAATTAAGAATGAACCATCAGGCTTCCCATAGAGCAAGTCCTCGGCTTGTACTCGATTGATATCCTCAACAAACCAAGTTTTCTCATCATAATGTGGCAGGTTTTCATCTTCCTCATTGATATAATAGGACCTAAAAATTAAATATTTAAAATATTATTTTGATAGTTTACTTATATCTAAAAGCTAAAAGTTAATGAAATCTTATTCTCTTTAACCATAAAATCAGAACTATTTCAGAGTTTTGGTTTTTTTTAAAACAACTTCATGACTTACTATGGTGCAAAAATCACAGAATTCACATGTCTCACTGACTAATCTAGAATGTGAACATCTGAGTAGGAATATCCAGATGCATGTGGCTGAGCAGGCTTCTGAGCTCAAGGAGCTATCTTCTTAAGGTAATTCAAATAAAGAGATGCAAAGTTCCAGATTCAATACCTTCTAATGACAATGAGAACCAACTCTGAGCAGTGTAAAGACAGAGCAAAGCTCGCTGACAGAAGGTTTAGCGAGAACTTACTCATCAACATCCTCATTTTTTATTCCCAGCCAGGTATTGAGGCGCTTCTGTCTCACTCCTTTGTGATTAAGCCACCTGCCGTGAGGGAAGACACCATGTCAGAAGCTAAGCAAGCTGCCTGCACAAAGTAAATACAGACTTTTTTTTTGTAATAGTGCCTCTGAGGGTAATTTCTATTTCTGAGGTTCTTTTTTATTTTTTATTTTTTTTTGGTCCTGGGGCTTGAACTCTGGGCTTGGGCGCTGTCCCTGCGCTCTTCAGCTCAAGGCAAGCGCTCTACCACTTGAGCCACAGTGCCACTTCCGGTTTTCTGGTGGTTTTACTGGCGAAAGGGTCTCTCAGAGTTTCCTGTCCAGGCTGGCTTAATTTGAACCAGGATCCTCAGATCTCAGCCTCCTGAATATCTAGGATTATAGGCGTGAGCCACCAGCGCCCGACATTCTGTGGTTCTTTTTTTCTTTTTTTGTCGGTTGTGGGGTCTGAACTCTGGGCCTGGGCGCTGTCCCTCAGCTCTTCAGCTCTAGGCTAGCGCTCTACCACGTGAGCCACAGCACCACTTCCTTTTTTTTCTGCTTATGTGGTGCTGAGGAATGGAACCCAGGGCTTCATGTGTGCAAGGCAAGCACTTAACCACTGAGCTACTTTCCCAGCCCCCTCTGTGGTTCTTATATAACCAAATACTCCAATTTTCGCATTTTAGTCAAACAGTAATCTGTACTTTTTAATCTGTATGTATCACTTTGCTCTTCCGACAGCCCCCTTCTGACATTTTCCAGGCATTTGTCTGTATGAAACAGAGGCCTACATTTTTGTTTGCCTCATTTTGGGACCCCCTACTACTAATTGAGATAATTCCTAAGTTCTTACAGGCTTGTTGGCCAGCACTCAGTTACAAATCAATTCCACCTACAACGTCTCTAGCTCCAGTGGTAACCCGATGCCATTGTTTCAAATCCCCACACACTCCCAGACTACTTACACAAGATGCTGATCTCGTATCTTGCGCAGCTGGATCAGGTCAGGTTTGATACTGTTCATTTTTTTATCTATTTCCCGGTTGTCCAAAGCTTGTTTCTTCAAATCCTGTTCCAGACGCATTTTGCTATCATGAATCTCACCAAGACGTGATTTCAATTTGTCAAAATTCATCATAATTCTGTGAAAATGTTTGACAATATTAAGGCTAAAATAGCAAAAAGGCAGAATGATCTTAAAGTATGAATGTATTTGGGGTATCTTTTTCTTTGAGATAGGGTCTTACTATGTTGTATAGGCATTGCACTCCTGGGCTCAAGCAATCTTCCTGACTCAGCCTCCTGAGGAAATGAGGACAAACCACTGTACCTACCTTAGGTTCTAATATCAAAACAGTGATAGACACTTGTTATTTATGCCTACTCCTTTTCTATTCTGATAATGGCACCCAGATGTTCCCTGTAGGTTAAGAATTCTCTGCCTCCATCTCAGATCCAGAGGTATATACATACGTAGCCTAGAATGGCCAATAAGAATATTCTATTTCATTTCCTTCTTACCCTCAGGACATAGTGACTGGTTCCGCTCAGTAATAAGAATAAAACCTCAACTGACAAAATGAGGCTCAATTCTATAACTTTTGCTAGAAATGTTATTAAAAATAATTCTCTCTTTCCACTGGGGTTGCTAAATTGTGAATATGAGATTCTGGGATTGTTAGAAACTACAATGTCATCTCACACATAAAACCAGCTTTAGGATAAGGCTAGCCCAGGAAAAGCTAGGCCAAAAAGCAAAGTGAGAAACAATCCCATTGACCTTGTTGTGGCCCTGGATCCAGCCATATATATACATATTTGTATACATATATACAGATACATATACAGCTTCTTTGTTCCAGGTTTGTCTATGTGTCTGTTGCAATCTCTCTGCTTTTTGACTTTTTTGAGACAGGGTCTTGCCTTGCTATACAGCCATGCTGTTCTTGAACTTTCAGTCTTCTTGCCTTGACCACAGGCCTGGCATTGCAGGTACGTCCCACCACATGCTACTCTAAACACCATACATGTTTTACTATCTATCATCATAGACATACTTATGCCTCTCTGTGTGCTCTATTCATTATCTAAATATCCTGCTGCCACCTGCTTCCGACAGTTCCATTTGTGTTCTCATGGGAGCATCAAACTTGTTGCTTCCATCTTTGGATGTTTCTCATGCAATCCCTAGCACAGTGAATAAACAAATACCACACTAGAAATCTAGGGGAAAAAAATTTTTTTTTTTTGGGGGGGGGGTCCAGTCGTGGGCCCTGAACTCTGGGCCTGAGCACTGTCCCTCAGCTCTTTAGCTCAAGGCTAGCACTCTACCACTTGAGCCACAGTGCCACTTCCGGCTTTTTGCTTTTTGCTTATGTGGTGCTGAGGAAGCGAACCCAGGGCCTCATGCATGCAAGGCAAGCGCTCTACCACTGAGCCACCTTCCCAGCCCCTAGGGAAAATTTTTTACTTCTCTTACACCTGCCATATCTGGTCAGTAATCAGTATTTCCTTTCTTTTTTCTTTTCCTTTTTCTTTTTTTTTGCCTAGTCCTGGAGCTTGAACTCAGGGCCTGGGTACTCTGAGCACTGTCCCTGAGCCTCTCTGTGCTCAAGGCTAGCACTCTATCATGAACCACAACATCATTTCCAGCCTTTTCTGTTTATGTGGTGCTGAGGAATCGAACCCAGGGCTTCATGCATGGTAGGCAAGCAAGTATCTACCACTGAGCCACATTCCCAGCCTTGATCTACTCTAATCTCTCATTAATGACTGCCAAAGATACTTTTCAGTTCAAAGAATAATCAGTAAGCACCTATTACGTACTCCCAAGTATCAAGTGGTGACTCAAGTGCATCAGCGAAAATGAGCTGCCATTCCTACTCTCAGTGAGTTTAGAGTTGAGTGACAGGCATTCAGGGATTATGACCAAACACTCTAGGGTCAAAAGGCCCTTAAAATATTTTGGGGAATCAGGAAAGATATTCCTTTTTTAGAAAAACTAATGTATTGCTGGGCATTGGTGGCTCATACCTGTAATCCTAGTCACTCAAGAGGCTGAGATCTGAGGATCGTGGTTCAAAGCCAGCCTGAGACTCTTACTCCAATTTATCACCAGAAAAATGGAAGTGGCGTTGTAGCCCAAGTGGTAGAGCAGTTGCCTTGAGCTGAAGAGCTCAGGGACAGTACCCAGGCCGAGTTCAAGCCCCATGACTGACCAAAAAAAAAAGAAGAAGAAAGAAAGAAAAGGAAAGAAAAACTAAGCCAGGCATGGTGGGGTGGCTCACACCTGTAGCTACTCAGGAGGCTGAGATCTGAGCATTGCGGTTCAAAGCCAGCCCGGGCAGGAAAGGCCCTAAGATTCTTATCTCCAATAAACCACCAGAAAACCGGATGTGGCTCAAGTGGTAGAGCGCTTGCCTTGAGCTGAAGAGCTGAGGGACAGCCCCCAGGCCCAGAGTTTAAGTCCCATGACTGACAAAAAAAGAAAGAGATAGAGATAAAGAGAGAGAGAGAGAGAGAGAGAGGAAGGAAGGAAGGAAGGAAGGAAGGAAGGAAGGAAGGAAGGAAGGAAGGAAGGAAGGAAGGAAGGAAGGAAGGAAGGAAGGAAGGAAGGAAAGAAGGAAAGAAGGAAGGAGAAGGAAAAAAGAAAAGAAAAACTAGTGTGTAACGAGTGCTAAATGATGAGCAAAATTTAGGAACAACTTAGTTTGGGACAGAAAAAGAACACAGATGAGAGGAGGTTCTGTGTAGTGCCGTTAGTACAAACAGCAAGTGATCCACAGAGCAGAACCATGCAATTTGAGGAGATAAAAAACAGACAGGATAAAGCCAGGCGCTGGTGGCTCACGCCTGAAATCCTAGCTAGTCAGGAGGCTGAGATCTGAGGATCGCGGTTCAAAGCCAGCCAGGGCAAGAGAGACCGTGAGACTCCTATCTCCAATAAACCACCAGAAAACCAGAAGTGGTGCTGTAGCTCAAGTGGTAGAGTGCTCGCCTTGAGCTGAAGAGCTGAGGGACAGCGCCCAGGCCCAGAGTTCAAGCCCCACGCCCGACCAAAAAAAAAATAGGATAAACTGAGTACCAGTAGCTACTTAGGAGGTTGAGATCTGAAGATCACAGTTCAAAGCCAGCCTAGGCAGGAAAGTTTGTGAGACTCTTATTTCCAATCAACTACTCAGAAAAAGCTGGAATGACACTGTGGCTCAAGTGGTAGCCTTGAGCCTGAGAAGCTCAGGGGCAGTGTCCAAGCCCTGAGTTGAATCCCCAAGACCACCACCACCACTGACAACACAATAACAACAACAAAACAACAACAACAAAAACAGGCAAGATAGGAATTATTAGGGAAAAAGAAATCTTGTCTAACTTACTTGGAAGTATTAAGTAGACTTACCGTTCAATTTCCTTTTCATTTCCTTCTCTGCGAAATCGCTCAATATATTCTTTGCTATATTGTTCTTGTGTGTGACATTGCTCCTCAAATATTTTAATTGTTTCATTAAAAGCTTCAATTGCAGTCCTCTTCATTTGTATTTCCTAAAGGAGTGGGAAAGTAACATACACTTCATTACTTTTTTTTGTTGTATACTTGATCCTAAAACAGATGTTTAATTCTAGATATAAACTAATTGATTGGACTGGAGATGTGGCTCAATTGTAGAAAACTTTCCTGGAACATTCAAGGTCCTAGGTTTATGGGGTGGGGGGGAGGGAGGATTGAGATAAAGGAGGGAAAGAGGGGAAAAGGACAGAAACAGAGAGAGAAACCCAAAGAAGACTTAACTTCTACTCTACCACAGAAAAGCCTCTGAGCTGCCAAGAAAGGCTGACCCTGAGCACACTGATAATAAGGATCACAGTGCTGACCCCAGCAGAAATGAAAAAATGAATGGATAAGATGGAGCCAAAGGGCAAAGTCTTGTCCCCAAAAGGGCCCTATAGTCTATTTATTCTTTTTTTTTTTTTTGGGGGGGGGTCCGGTCATGGAGCCTGAACTCTGGGCCTGGGTGCTGTCCCTCAGCTCTTCAGCTCAAGGCTAGCGCTCCACCACTTGAGCCACAGCGCCACTTCCGGCTTTTTTCTTTTTGCTTATGTGGTACTGAGGAATCGAACTCAGGGCCTCAGGCATGCAAGGCAAGCGCTCTACCACTGAGCCACCATCCCAGCCCCAGTCTATTTATTCTTAATTTTATTTTTTACAGTACATGATGAGTTTTCCAAACCAATTCAACAGTAGATCAGTATGATTAGAAGTAAGAAATTAAAAGGAGAGAGAAAAGCCTGCAAGTTAGATGTACTAAAAATTTAAAACTAATACCAGCCGAGCTGGTGACTCACACCTGTAATCCTAGCTACTCAGGAGGTGGAGATCTGAGGATTGTTCAAAGCCAGCTCGGACAGAAAAGTCTGTGAGACTCTTATTTCCAATAAACCACTAGAAAACGGAAGTGGCACTGTGGCTCAAGCAATAGAGCGCTCAAGTTCAAGCCCCAAGACCAACAAAAACAAACAAACAAACAAAAAACTAACACCAGGTGCTGGTGGCTCAGGCCTATAATCCTAGCTACCTACTAAGGAGGTTGAGATCTGAGGATCAGGGTACAAAGCCAGCCTGGGGAGGAAAAGCCCATGAGACTCTTCTCTCCAAGAAAATACTCAGAAAAAGCTGGAATTAACACTGTAGTTCAAGTGGTAGAACTCTAGCCTTGAACAAAAAAGAAGCTTAGAAACAGCACCCAGGCCCTGAGTTCAAGTCCCAGGACCAACACCAAAAATAAATAAAATAATTTTTTTAATCCGCAAAAACAGACTAAGAACTCAAAAGCCCAGTTAGGTTAAGCCATAAGCACCAAACTAAATAGTTCTATATATTTTAGTGAACTCTGAGCGTATCAGTAGACTTTAACATCTGAATTATAATTCCTCTAAAATCTTCAAAAAGGGCTAAATTTTGTTCAGTTTACTTTTTAGGGATATAATAAAAATGCATGAAGACCTAAAAAGGCTGCCAACCTGAATATATGCAATTTTAGAAGTTTTTATGTTGGTGGGATAGTTCTTCAGCTATCTAGTATTTATTCATTTCAACTAATGATTACTGAGCATATGTTCAACAGCAAGTCTCAGGCTGGGAATGTGACTTAGTGGTAGCATGCCTACCTAACATGCATGAAGCCCTGGGTTTGATTCCTCAGTACCACATACACAGAAAAGGCCAGAATTGGCACTGTGACTCAAGTGATAGAGTGCTAGCCTTAAACAAAAGAAGCTCAGGAGGGACAGTACCTAGGCCCTGAGTTCAAGGCCCAGGACTGGCAAGAAAACAACAACAAAAACCAGCAAGTCCCATTAGACAGTAATCTGTTTATAGTTAAAGAGATCTGTGAAGATACTCAGAACAGATTTCTGACCTCTAATAAGGTTTTATTTACATCATGGTAGAGGTAAACAAATGACATGAATTATTTCTCTTTTGTCTTGACCAAAGAAACAAACTCTACAACTCTTATAGTTAACTCAAATTACAGTGGAGAGTCTTGACTTTCAAGATTAAAAGTTACCTATTTAGCTCTGGCCTAGTTCTTTAAACACACCAACAATTTTAGATTCTACTCACACAAGTATAGGGAAAAGTATTTGATGTATTATTTATTATCACTGCCAAATTTGCAGTTTCCCCATAAACAGTGCCTTACACCTACCCCCAAATTATAAAGCCACTGCTATGCGCACCCTTCCTTTACTTTCCCCTTCCTTTATCTATAGGTTTGTAGGTCTCAGCTCCTCTGCCACATTAGCCAGCCCCTCATATATCATCAGCTTCCCAGTCTAACAGCTTTTCTCAGCAGCATACAAGTAAACACTGCTTACACCACTTTGGGGGAAAATCTCTCTCTCTCTTATTTTTTTTTGGTCGGTCGTGAGGGCTGAACTCTGGCCCTGGGCGCTGTCCCTCAGCTCTTCAGCTCAAGGTGAGCGCTCTACTGCTAGAGCCACATCACCACTTCCGGTTTTCTAGTGGTTTATTGGAGATAAGAGTCTCTCAGACTTTCCTGCCTGGACTTTACTGCCCCGGCTGGCTTTGAACCACGCTCCTCAGATCTCAGCCTCCTGAATAGCTAGGATTACAGGTGTGAGCCACCAGCGCCCGGCTTGATTATACATAATCTTGATGTCAGATATTCCCACATGTTATCATTTTGGTTATCTTATTAGTTTATTCCCATCCCGGAACCAACTCAGGCTAAGGACACAAAATCTCTTCCCACTCTCTAAGAAGAATTCATGTACAGCAAAGCAATGTAGATTTTACCTAACGTTACAAGAAAAACTGAGGAAGTCCTAACACATATCAACACCAACTCTTTCAACCTTCTTTAACACATTTGCATAGCATGTCTCCTGTACTGCTAATCCCTGGGTCCCTCTTTCTCCTTGCCTCTCGCTTCCCAAAGCTTTAAACCTCTATTGTGGCTTTTCTCTGCCCATCTGTTCAAGTCTTACTCCAATTCCCATATTCAGAAATGTATCCTTCCTTAGACACTAGTGGCTTTTTGGTTGCCTCTACCTGACCCTCTACCCAAACCCCAACCTGAGGATCGTAAATCTCAAATCAGCTGACTTCAGGATTCCTTTTCTACAGTTTAATTATCCAATATTACTGAACATTTGGGCAGCATTCCCTGCTTTCTACAGCCAAGGCAAGAAAGCAAAAATGCAGCTCTATAGCCATCAAAGCCACATGCAACAATGGCCATTTTTTTCTAGCCTCTGGGCTAGAAAGTAAGAAGATTTAATCAGAAACCAAAGCTTTCTTAACAAAGAGAAGCCCAGAACCAGATGGCTCCACTAGTGAACTTAGCCAACTATTTATAGAATAGCAATCCTTCTCAAACTTTTCCAAAAAAAAAAAAATAGGACACTTCTGAACATTCTAGGAGACCATCATTACTCAGGTACTAAAGTCAGACCAAGACACTACATTAAAAACTTCAGATTAGCCAGGCACCAGTGGCTTAGACCTGTAATCCTAGCTACTCTGGAGGCTGAGATCTGAGGATCCTGGTTCAAAGCCAGCCTGGCCAGGAAAGGCCATGAGACTCTCATCTCCAATAAACCACTCAGGAAATCGGAAGTGGCACTGTGGCTCAAGTGGTAGAGCACTCGCCTTCAGCCGAAGAGCTGAGGGACAGTGCCCAGGCCCAGAGTTCAAGCCCCATGACTGACAAAAAAACAAAAACAAAAAAACCCCCTACAGATTATACTATTTTTTATAATGCAAATTTTAAAATTCTCAACAAAGTGTTAGCTGAATTCCTAGCAAATTAATAAGGATGTATGCCATGTTCATGTAAGATACTGCCCAAGAATACAAGGATAATTCAACAAACAGGTATCAAGGTCATATACTACATTAATAGGATGAAAAAATATTTGATTACCTTAACTGATGCAAGAAAACCCTTGACAAAATCTAGCATTCTTTCATGATAAAAACATCCAATAAGCTAGGTGCCAGTGGCTCACACCTGAAATCCTAGCTACGGTGAAGGGTAAAATCTGAGGATCATGGTTCAGTCAGCCAGGGCAGGAAAGTCTATGAGATTCTAATCATCAATTAAGCACCAAAAAAGCCAGAAGTAAAGCTGTACCTCAAGTAGTAGAGTGCTAGCGTTGAGAAAAGGGCTCAGAACACTAGCCAGGCCCTGAGTTCAAGCCGCACAACTGACAAAAAAAAAATGGGCTGGGAAGGTGACTCAGTGGTAGAGCGCTTGCCTTGCATGCATGAGGCCCTGGGTTTGATTCCTCAGCACCACATAAGCAAAAAGAAAAAAGCCAGAAGTGGCGCTGTGGCTCAAGTGGTAGAGCGCTAGCCTTGAGCTGAAGAGCTGAGGGACAGCGCCCAGGCCCAGACTTCAGGCCCCACGACCGGACCCAAAAAAAAAAAAAAATGTTGTTCAAGATATTAAGGCAACTGAAGATCATCAAAGGAATTGTAGAAAATCTGGTAGCATTGCATACTTATTAGACCAAACACAAAAATATACTGACCTGGGATGTTCTGGTATATTCTTCATATAGCCTGTCATATTCTTTACTCTTTTCCTGATACTGAGAGTGGTACTCTTGAAGTTTTTTGCCTACTGCATCAATATTATCTTCTTTTACCAACTGATCCTATACAGGCACACAAAAGAAGTCGAGAATGTTAGTAATTCAGACATGCTTTTCCATGTCTATTTTTAAATTCTATTTCAAATTTATATGTTCAAGCCACTGTAATGATGCAAAAGCACTAAATCCCTTGTGTTAAAATGAATACTGATCTTTAAATCATATAAAAATAACTAATACTTTAAAACTAAGAAATGAAAGCAAAGAATGGTGATGCATGCCTCTAATTCCAGCACTCGGGAGGCTGAGGCAGAAAAATCAGGAGTTCAAGGCCATCCTGGGCTACAGAGTGAGGCCCTGTTGGAGATGAGAGGAAAAGATGGGTGAGGACGGAGGAGAGGAAAGGAGGAGGAGAACCACAGTGTAAGTGGGTGCATAAACACAAATATTTTGTATACAGTTAATAAATATACAAATTAGCTATTATAAAATAGTATACTGTAAGTTTCAAAAAAAATCTTTGAAAGATCTAAATTTTTTTCAAAATGAGTACATTTGGGCTGGGAAGGTGGCTAGTGGTAGAACGCTTGCCTTGCATGCATGAGGCCCTGGGTTCGATTCCTCAGCACCACATAAGCAAAAAGTAAAAAGCCGGAAGTGGCGCTGTGGCTCAAGTGGTAGAGCGCTAGCCTTGAGCTGAGGAGCTGACGGACAGCACCCAGGCCCAGAGTTCAGGCCCCACGAACGGACACACACACACACACACACACACACACAAAAACAAAATGAGTACATTTCTTTTCAGTTAATGAGCCTGATTTTCTAAAGTCACATTATTATGTTAAACAATGACTTGCTCAACAGCTATGAAGAACTCTGAGCATACCTGTTGATATCTGGACACTGGGTACATCAGCTTCACATCAAGTTTGGGATTGTACTGAGCAAGAGATTCATGATGATAGTGGTTAATGAGCTCCACCACAGAATTAAATGTCAAAGGATCAGAAAAGCCATATTTACCATCCCGATGATAGATCTTTATTAACTTATTATTGCCTCCTTTCCTGTGAAAAACAAAACAACTGTAGTTTTTCCCAAAAATTCTGCTTAAAAGTATTAGTCTTATATGGTGATTCACATAATAAACAAGTTTTACTCTGCTAATAGGACTAGGAATGCATATACATAGATACATGCATGGGGCTGGGAAGGTGGCTCAGTGGTAGAGTGCTTGCTTTGCATGGGTGAGGCCCTGGGTTCAATTCCTCAGCACCACATAAGCAGAAAAAGCTGGAAGTGGTGCTGTGGCTCAAGTGGTAGAGCGCTAGCCTTGAGTTCAGGCCCCACGAAGGACAAAAATAAATGAATAGATAAATAAATGCATGCATATATATGGATATACACACGTGTGTGGGAAAGTACACATAAAATCATTTTTATCTTTTGCCCATAAAACATCTTAGCTAGGGGCTGGGAAGGTGGCTCAGTGGTAGAGCGCTTGCCTTGCATGCCTGAGGCCCTCGGTTCAAGCATCACCACCACAAAATAAATAAAATGGCATTATATAAACAGATGAAAAACCTTTCCATAACTGAGTTATTTTAATCATTAAAATTGTATCTGGAAATATCTGATGCAGTATTTTTAACCTATTTTTAATCTTTTATAAGTATAAAAAAATCACACATCTACCACTTAGGAAATAGTAAAATTCTTCTGGCACAGGCTGAGAACTGCTCTATCCACATATTCTCAGCAGTCAAAATTATGTTCTACTTCTTGAAATCTGTATAAAGGAAAAAGAGTTTTTAGCGGGATAGATTTATTAGTAACCTGAAGATATAACCTTGAAGCCAGACACTGGTGGCTCATGCCTGTAATTCTAGCTACTTAGGAGGCTGATATCTGAGGATCATGGTTCAAAGCCAGCCCAGGCAGGAAAGTCTGTGAGATGCTTATCTCCAATGAACCATCAGAAAACCAAACATGGGCTATCACTCAAAGTGGTAGAGCGCCAGCCTTGTGCAAAAAAGCTCAGGGACAGCACCCAGACCCTGAGTTGAAGTCCCAAGACCAAAAACAAAATAAAACAAAACACATTCCTTTGACTTCTATTTCATTGATTAAGTCAAATAAAATGTATATTTTTTTTAATTGTGAAAATACCGTACAGAGGGGTTACAATTACATGGGCAAGGTAATGAGTACATTTCTTATCAAGCATTGTTGCCTCCTCCTTTGTTTCCTCTTCCCATTAAAATGTATACTTAACTCCTTTATACTTAGGGATTTTAGCCTTTGCATTTTATTTCTACATAAAAGAAAAACAGTTGACATTTTTATAAGATGTTTGACTATTTACTATGTGGGAAAAAAAATTTTTTTAAGTTAGCCAAGGGGCTGGGAAGGTGGCTCAGTGGTAGAGTGCTTGCCTTGCATGCATGAAGCCCTGGGTTCCATTCCTCAGCACCACCTAAGCTGAAAAGGCCAGGAGTAGTGCTATGACTCAAGTGGTAGAGCGCTTGCTTGAGCTGAAGAACTGAGGGTGAGTCCAGGCCCAGAGTTCAGCCCCATGACCGACACACACACACACACACAAAGCCAAATTAAAAATTACATATCTAGATTGGGCAAGAATATGAAAAATATGCATATAAAGATTTAAATAAGATGCAGAACCCCCTATATATTCAGAACCTAAATAAGGGGGCAGGAGCCAAAGGACGGAGTACTCACCTCAAAGTCAAAGTATAATCTCCCTGCATTTTTGTTGAAGCATCTCGAACCAAGAAGGTACCATCTGGCATGTCCCGTAATTTGTCATTTACCTCCTCCCTGAAAAACACAATTATAGGAAGCATGAAAAAGCATAAGCATGGTTGTCTTCACATGTTACTGCTGAGTTAGAAGGTGGGTGTGTATGTGTTCTAGTCATGGGGGCTCTCAGAGGTCATTTAGTTCCTCCCTCTAGATACACTCTTTCTGTTTTGATTTTGGGTGTTATGTAATCTATGGAAAGACTATTTGATTTTTAAACTCATCCAGATTCCAAGTGACTGATGAAGATAATGTTTCTATTAAGCCTTTAAGGCTTTCTTAGGCAGGTCTGAACTTGCAGGAAAACTAGTTTCAGAAAAACCTCGCAGGTGTTTTGAAAGAAGCTCATATTTAAGCAACAGTGGCAGCTGTTCCTAAACAGAACGAGGAAAACTCACTTAAATTCACAACCTTCAATAGATATTCACTAATTTGAATTTACACTAACAACAAATTTATTCTTCAGAGCTTGTTTCACAATTTAACGGACAACACTATAACACTAAAAGGAAATGTCAGGACACAAAAGATCCTTGAACTGGGTACCAATGGCTCACAACTATAATCCTAGTTACTCAGGAGGCTGAGATCTGAGGATCATGGTTTGAAGCCAGCCTGGGCAGGAAAGTTTATGAGACTCTTTAACCACTAAAAAATAAAGCAAAAAGTGGAGGTGTAACCTAAGTAGAGCACAAAAGTCTAGGGACAGTATCCAGATCCTGAGTTCAAGTCCCAGGACTGGCACATACACACACACACACACACACACACACACACACACACACACACACACACACACACACACACACACACACACACACACACACACACACACACACACACACACACACACACAGCCTTGAATTACAGTAAGAACCACAAGATCTCAGAATATAAATTTAAATAGTGTTTAATTATAAAGGACCCTTTTATCAGACTACCAAAATAAAATATTCTAGTAATTTTTAATATAAAATATACTAAGACCTCTTCAGAAGTTAAATACAAAATAAACAAATGACCCAACAATTTCACTTCTGCATATATATCCAAAATAATCTAAAGCAAGAGGCTGGGAATGTAGCTTAGTGGCACAGTGCTTGCCTAGCATGCATGAAGCCCTAAATTCAATTCTCAGTACCACATAAACAGAACAATCCAGAAGTGGCACTGAAGCCCTAAATTCAAATCTCAGTACCACATAAACAGAACAATCCAGAAGTGGCACTGTGGCTCACATGGTAGAGTGTTAGCATTGAGCAAAAGAAGCTCAGGGACAGTGCCCAGGCCCTGAGTTCAAGCCCCAGGACTGGCAATAATAATAATAATAATAATAATAATAACAACATCATCATCATCATCATCATCTAAAGCAAGGACTCAAGACTTTTTTTTTGCTAGTCCTAGGGCTTAAACTCTGGGCCTGAATGCTATCCCTGAGCTCCTTTTGCTCAAGGCTAGCATTCTAGCACTAGAGTGGTACTACAGTGCCACTTCCAGCATTTTCTGTGTTTAATTGGAGATAAAAGTCTCACAGACTTTTGGGCCTGGGCTGACTTCGAACCACAATCCTCAGATCTCAGCCTCCTGAGTAGCTAGGATTACAAGCATGAGCCACCAGCACCCAGTAGACTCAGACATTGTTAAACCAGCATTCATATTAGCATTATTCATAATAGCCAAAGCTAAAATAATCCAAACATTCATCAAATCCACAAATCCAGATGAATAAACAAAAATGTGATATAGTCACAAATTGGGATATTATCCACCCTTATAAAAGAGTGAAGTCCTGACATATGCTATAACATGAATCATCCTTGAAGACTGAAATAAGTGAAATATTCCAGTCACAAATGCAAAAGTATTATAAGACTTCATTTACACAAAGTACCTAGAATAGTTGAATTCATAGAAACAGAAAGTAGAAGGGTAGTTGATAGGGGCTGAGGAAGGAGAGACGGGAGTTTTTGCTTTACTAGGTTAGAGCACATTAATTGATGGTAGCGATGGCTGCATAGCAGTGTGAATGTACTGTGCACATAAAATGGCTGAAATGATACAAGTTTTAAAAAAAAGTGAAATGAGCCAGGTGCTGATGGCTCCCGCCTGTAATCCTAGCTACTCAGGATGCTGAGATGTGAGAATCACAGTTCAGAGCCAGCCCAGGCAGGAAAGTCCATGAGATTCTTTTTTTTTTTTTTTTTTTTGGGTCCAGTCGTGGGGCCTGAACTCTGGACCTGGGCGCTGTCCCTCAGCTCTTCAGCTCAAGGCTAGCGCTCTACCATTGAGCCACAGCACCACTTCCAGCTTTTTCTTTTTGCTTATGTGGTGCTGAGGAATCGAACCCAGGGCCTTATGCATGCAAGGCAAGCACTCTACCACTGAGCCACCTTCCCAGCCCGTCTATGAGATTCTTTTTTTTTTTTTTTTTGTCGGTCGTGGGGCTTGAACTCTGGGCCTGGGCACTGTCCCTCAGCTCTTCAGCTCAAGGCGAGCGCTCTACCACTTGAGCTACAGCGCCACTTCCAGTTTTCTGGTGGTTTATTGGAGATAGGAGTCTCACGGTCTCTCCTGCCCGTGCTGGCTTTGAACTGCGATCCTCAGATCTCAGCCTCCTGAGTAGCTAGGATTACAAGCGTGAGCCACCAGCGCCCGGCCCCTGAGATTCTTATCTCCGATAAACCACTAGAAAAAGGGAAGTGGCGCTGTGGCTCAAGTGGTAGAGCACTAGCCTTGAGCTGAAGAGCACAGGGACAGCTCCCAGGCCCAGAGTTCAAGCCCCACAACCGGCAAAAAAAAAAAAAAAATGAAATGAGTACTACTTTGGGAATGGGAGAAAACACAGACAAGAGAGGGAAGAATGAGTATATTGAAGAATTCGGGGGGCTGGGAAGGTAGCTTAGTGGTAGAGCACTTGCCTTGCATGCCTGAGGCCCTGGGTTCGATTCCTCAGCACCACATAAGCAAAAAGAAAAAAGCCAGAAGTGGCGCTGTGGCTCAAGTGGTAGAGCACTAGCCTTGAGCTGAAGAGCTGAGGGACAGCGCCCAGGTCCAAAGTTCAGGCCCCACGACCGGACCCCAGAAAAAAAAATATGTACATAAAATCTCTCTGGTTTCAAAACTACCTTTTACCCCTACCCTGCTCCTCACCAAAAAAACCTATGCCCTAGAGTTCTGTTTCTCCAACCCATGTGTAAAGAGTCTGTATCATAGCCAGGTACCAGTGACTTACACCTGTAATCTTAGCTACTCAGAAGGCTGAAATCTGAGAATCACAGTTCAAAGCCAGCTTGGGCAGGAAAGTCCATAAGACCCTTATCTCCAATTAACCACCAGAAAACTGGAAGTGGCGCTGTGGCTCAAGCAGTAGAGCACTTCCCTTGAGCTGAGTCCCTAAGGACTCAGGGACAGCACCCAGGCCCAGAGTTCAAGTCCATGACCAACAACAACAACAAAAAAGAGTCTGTATCAAAATCATTTAGGGCTAGGTGTAGTAGCACATGCCTATAATCCTAGCACTAAGGAGGCTAAAGCAGAAAGATCCCAATTTTGAGCCCTTCCTGGGCTATAAGTTAGTTCCAGGACAGCTTTGACTACATAACAAGATTCTGTCTCAAACAAAAAAAATTTTGTAGGGATATTGTTAAAGGTAGATTCCAGGGCTATACCTAAACTGACTTCCATAAAAAGAAAGATTTTGGAAGTATTACCTTTGAGGGAAAAAAATACCTAAAAGTATCTTTCAGTCTGAACCCTATGTAACTATCTTAAATGTGTAAATTTCATATATGCTGAAATCCACCTTCAATATAGTATTGAAAGTAATAATCATACCCATAATTTAAAGATTTTCTTGCAACTTTGTAGACAGGAGATGACAGTTCTTGTCATAGGAAGAAAAGAGTTAAGAAAACTTGAATTCACAAAATTCACACACAAATTTTAAAGTGATAATCTTCAAATGCCAAGTAGTACAGCATTAAAATGAATTAACTACTTCTCAAAAAAATTAATTGAATTCAGTTATAGTTGTACAATTACCTGGAAATATCCCCCCAGTACCATTCTGCATCCTGAAGAGAAACGGAACAGTCTTTCATCCCATTTGTAACTGCTGAAGTCATTGGCTTAGGTGGCTTTGGTGGAAGAGCTAGAAAAGAAATGAACATTATATATGTAAATTAGCAATTACTTATTTGCTTCGCTAGGAGCAGGTCATTAACCCATGTATACTAAGATTCAAATAACTGCTAATCCAATTTAAGGTTTAATCTTAGTCAAAAGAATCCTTTAGAATTTTACCAATAATTACTTGAAAAGCAAAATTTTTAAGCTTATTATTTTATTAGCTCCTCCTTATAAATACTGACTTTCAATTCAGCAAAATGTTTTGTCTTTCCTTTGAAAGAAGTCCCATTCCTATTTGGGAGGCTGAGATCAGGAGGATCTTGGTTCCCCGCCACTCTGAGCAGAAAAGTCTGGAAGACTCAGTCACATTAAAAGCTAGGCATGGGGCTGGGAAGGTGGCTCAGTGGTAGCGCGCTTGCCTTGCATGCATGAGGCCCTGGGTTCGATTCCTACCACATAAGCAAGAAGAAAAAAGCCAGAAGTGGCGCTGTGGCTCAAGTGGTAGAGTGCTAGCCTTGAGCTGAAGAGCTGAGGGACAGCACCCAGGCCAGAGCTCAGGCCCCAAGACTGGACCAAAAAAAAAAAAGCTAGGCATGGTAATAACTTGTCACCCCCAACTGTAGTGGGAAGCATAAAATAGGAGCAAGGTCCAGACACGTGCCCAGGTAGGAAATGCAATCCATCTCAGAAATAAATGTAAAAAAGGACTGGAGATGTAGTTTAACAGTGTGTACTTGCTTAACAAGGAGGAAACCCTCAGTTTAAACCAGTTTAAACCCTAGTACTGCTCCCTGGATTGAACTCCAAGTTCTGTGCATGTTAGGCAAGCACTACTGATACATAAACACACACACACACACACACACGGATCTAAGAATGGAGACAGATATATAGATATGGATATAGATATATTTCTTTAAAGTGGTTGAATACCTAGTTGGTTGAAAAAAAATTGATGTGGCTGATGAAACCTACTTGGAACCGTAACTTTTCAAATTTAAAATTTTTCTACATTATCCATGTAACATAGGATCAACAGTTTAAATACGTGCTGTACAAATTGTTATGCTATAGCTAGGAAAGGTAGAAAGACAAGGTGTTCCTAGCACTCAAAAAGAACAAATCTAGCTGGGCACTGGGAATTCATGCCTGTAATCCTAGCTGCTCAAGAGGCTGAGATCTGGTGAGCAGAAGCCAGCCAGAGTAGGAAAGTCATGAGATGCTTATCTCCAATTAACCAGCAAAAAGCTGGAAGCAGAGCTGGGCACCAATCGCTCATGCCTAGCTACTCAGGGAGGCTGAGATCTGAGGATCACAGTTCAAAGCCAGCCCAGACAGGAAAGTCTGTGAGACTCTTATCTCCAATTAACGACCAGAAAACCGGAAGTGGCGCAGTTTCTCAAGTGGTAGAGTGCTAGCCTTGAGTTGAAAAGCTGAGGGACAGCATTCAGGCTCAGAGTTCAAGCCCCACAACTGACAAAAAAAAAAATCTGGAAATGGAACTATGACCCAAGTGGCAGACAAGCAAAAAAGCACAGGGACACTGCCCAGACCCTGAGTTCAAGTCCCAGGAATTGCACACATATATACACACACACAAAGAACAAATCTAGAGGGAATAATACATAGAAAAACATAACCATAAGACTGCCAAATGAAGTAATAGCCATGATAAAGATAAAAGCAAATGTAATGGACACACTTCCAAAAGAACTACAGATGACCTCTGGGGAAATTTTAGTTCCAATTCTAAGATTCTCAAGCTCAGTCCTTACTAAAGAGAATGTTATAACTAGCAAAATTGATCAAGAAACCAATCTGCGGCTACACCTCCTGCTCACGGCTGGCACTCAACTACTTGAGCCATACCTTCTGTCTAATATTTTTCTGGTTTATTGAACATAGAGTTTTATAGACTTCTGCCCAAACTGAGTTAGAATCACGATCCTCAGGTCTTCTGAGAAGCTCATGCCTAAAGTCTGCCTATAGAATAACAATGACCTAGAAGTTCAAAACTGAATTGAGTTATGGCCTATTTTTATATTCCTTGGTTTGATTTCATTTGGGTTGGTGTTCATTCAAGGTCTTGCTATGAAGCCGAGGCTGCTCAAAGATCTCCTGCCTCTGCCTCTGAGTGCTAAAACTACAGCTGTGTGCCACTATACCAGGTCACTTTTTCTTTTATGTAAAAGTGATGTTCAGAGGGGCTACAGTTACATAAACCAGGAAATGAGTACACTTCTTTCTGAACAGTGTCACCTACTCCCTCATTTTCTCCATTTTCCCCTCCTAACCTTCCTCCCCCCACCCCCAGACCACTTCATTTTTTTTTTTCTTTTTTGCTTATGTGGTGCTGAGGAATTAAACCCAGGGCCTCATGCATGCAAGGCAAGTGCTCTACCACTGAGCCACCTTCCTAGCCCAGACCACTTCATTTTTAATTTATTTATTTATTTATTTTTTTGTCAGTTGTGGGGCTTGAACTCTGGGCCTGGGCGCTGTCCCTCAGCTAAAGGCTAGCGCTCTACCACTTGAGCTACAGTGCCACTTCCAGTTTTCTGGTGGTTTATTGGAGATAAGAGTCTTACAGACTTTCCTGCCCAGGTTGGCTTTGAACTGCGATCCTCAAATCTCAGCCTCCTGAGTAGCTAGGATTACAGGCTAGAAGCACCAGCCTGGGCAGGAAAGTCCAGGAGACTGAGACTCTTATCTCCAATTAACCACCAGGAAAACTGGAAGTAGTGTTGTGGCTCAAAGTGATAAAGCACTAACCTTGAGCTGAAAAAGCTCAGGGACAACACCCAGGCCCTGGGTTCAAGCCCCACAACAAACAGGAAGGAAGGAAGGAAGGAAGGAAGGAAGGAAGGAAGGAAGGAAGGGAGGGAGGGAGGGAGGGAGGGAGGGAGGGAAGGAGGGAAGGAGGGAGGGAGGGAGGGAGGGAGGGAGGGAGGGAGGGAGGGAGGGAAAAGAAAAAGAAAGGAAAGAGAGAGAGAAAGCAATATTGCCTGTGGCTCATGCCTACAATTCTAGCTACTCAAAGAGGCTGAGATCTGAGGTTCATCATTCTAAATCAGCCTAGAGAGGAAAGTCTATAAGACTATTATCTCCAGTTAAACACACACACACTCACACACACACACAGAGACACACACACACACACACAGAGTTAGAAGTAGAACTGTGGCTTAAGTGGTAGAGCCTCAGCTTTGAACACAAAAATTCAGGAACAGTGGCCTGACTCTTGAGTTCAAGCCCCAGGACTGGCACACACACACACTATGCAGAATTAGGGTGAAACTCAGTGAAAGCATCTGCCTAGTATGCACAAGGTCTTGGGTTCAATCCTCAGCACTACAAAAAATTAATATCCAAGCATTTTATTGGAGCTGAATACTGTCTTATTACACCTGAATTCTCTCTTGAATTCACTGTAATCCTATCCTAACTTCACTAAAACTACTCTTGCTAAGGTCAGTGTCCTTGTTGCTAAATTCTGTAGATACTTTTAAATCTTCATCTGTAGAATTTCCTACTGTTGGTCGATCTTTTTTGGGTGGTGTAGGAGGATTCAGGTCCTGGGGCTTGAACTCAGGCCCTGGGCACTGTCCCTGAGCTTTTTTTGCTCAAGGCTAGCACTCTGCCCCTTGAGTCACAGCTCCACTTCCAGCTTTTTGGTGATTATTTGGAGATAAGAGTCTTAAGGACTTTCCTGCCTAGGTTGGCTTTGAACTGTGATCCTCAGATTGGAGGCTCCTGAGAATCTAGGATTACAGGCATGAGTCACCAGCAACTGGCATATGATTTTTTCTAAGCAAATAATTTACATGTTTGGGGAGATGTTTTTGAATGAAACTAATTATAACTCAACATCCTGGAAAAAAAATAAATATATATTTAAGCATGACTATTATAATAAACACAGATACCACAAGTACAGCCTAAGTAATTCTTATTTGGATGAAAAGTAAAAAACATGAAATACAGTGTGTACATATTCAATTTTTAGACTTAGGAATCTTTATTTTTGTTAGCACAGATTAGTTTACATAGGGAGTTCATTGTGATAATCCATATATGTATATATGTACTTTGATGAAATTTGTCCTCAATTTATTCCTCCTTCTCCTTCTATATGCCCCTCTTTTCTTTAAACAATTTTCACAGGTTCATTATGATTTTCCTTCCATGCACATGAAGAACTTCAATCATATTCTGTCCTCCTTTACCAAACGCTCCTTTTACCTCTCCCCACTGGTTTTCATCTCCAAACAGTGCCTCATTTTAGCGTAGTGTTTGAGATAATTAAGCATTATCCAATCAATGTTTGTATATAGTAGACAATGCTACTTTAAAACCTTATTAAACTGTGGAAACTAGAACACTGAAAAATCAAACTTATTGCTGGGTGCCGGTGGCTCATGCCTATAATCCTAGCTACTCTGGAGGCTGAGATCTGAGGATCACAGTTTCAAAGCTAGCCTGGGCAGGAAAGTCAGTGAGACTCTTATCTCCAATTAACCACCAGGAAACCAGAAGTAGAGCTGTGGCTCAAGTAGTAGAGTGTGCGCCTTGAGCTGAAGAGCTCAGAGGCAGCAGCTAGGCCAGGAGTTCAAGCCCCATGACTGACAAAAAAAAAAAAAAATCAAGCTTATTGAACTAGAAAATATAAGACTAAAAATAAATATAATAATGAACTGCTAAAACACTAGACAAAAATGTTGGACTATGAATTGGGGCCTATGAATCACTCTATTTCTAGATTTACAATAACCAATTATAACCAAATAGGGATTTGAAACAAATGGTAGCTGTGCTTGTTTTGTTTGCTAGATATTAACGTGCACCTCCCTTTCTTTGGTAACAGTACTTCAATTTCATCAGGTAGATTGACTCATCCCCTAGGTATATATCTCAGTAAATCAAAGCCTCTTGCTGTTCCCTAAACTAAGGGACTGATACATAATCTAAACAAAACAAACTCAATCTTTATTAAAAGGACTTTGAATTCTAAGCAAAATAGTG